TCTGGTGGATTTGAACCACTACCTCTGGGATTGCAGTGCAGCGTCTTGCCACTAGGTCACCAGAGCTCCCTTCGAGTCTTCCTTTCTTCAATACTGATACCACATTCTTAATAGAGTTCAGCTTCACAAATAATTTGCTCAATATATATATTAAATAGGTATGGGGAAAGGATGCAATCCTGATGCACACCCTTCTTAATTTTAAACCATGTAGTGTATCCTTGCTCTGTTTACACAACAGCCTTTTGGTCTAGTTATAGGTTTCATGTGAGCACAACTACAAGTTCTGGGACACCCATTCTTCTCAATGTTATCCATAATTTGTTATGTAACAGTCAAATGCCTTTGCATAGTCAGTATCACATAAATAGATATTCTTCTGTTTTCTTGCTTTCAGCCAAGATCCATCTGACATTAGAAATGATATTCCTGGTGCCACAGCTTCTTCTAAATCCAGCTAGAACTATGAAGGCTCTCTATGTGCTATTCTAGAATTGTTTAATGAACTTTAGAATTTTGCTTGCATGCGGTATTAATGATGTTGTTCTATATTTCCACATTGGTATTCCATTAATTACTGAGGATTTCTACCAACTTTTGCAGTCGGAAGTTGATCAAACATGCAATCAGGATGCATTGATAATAATGGGTGACTGGAATGCAAAAGTTGGGAACAGAGAAGAAGGTTCAGTAGCTGGAAAATACGGGCTCGGTGAGAGAAATGAGGCTGGAGTTAGAATGATAGAGTTCTGCACATTCAATGATTTATTCATTGCAAATACCTTTTATGAGAAACATAAACGCAGGCTATACACGTGGATCTCACCTGATGGCATGCATAGGAATCAAATAGATTACATCGGTGGAAAGACTCGGTGGAGAAGCTCAATAACAGCAGTGAAAATCAGGTCGGGTGCTTATTGTGGGACAGACCACCAACTACTCATATGCAAGTTCAAACTGAAGTTGAAGAAAATGAAATCAAGTCCACGGGAACCAAAATTTGATCTTAAGTCTATCCCACTCGAGTTTCAAAACCATCTCAGGAACCGGTTTGAGGCCTTGAGCACCAATGAGCGT